ATACGAAGGATATAGAGCTTCGGTTAAAAAATAAATAAATAGAAGAAACCCATCATCAGTGGGAAGAAAAAGCAGACAGTCTAGGTTTAATTAGAGACTTTCTGACCATGAACGAATTCCCGTGGCAAAGTGTCTGGATCAAAAGGAATGAAGTCTCTATGAATTTGACAATTAAGTAAAGAACTCAGGGCATTTGATGTCCTGCTTCCTGATACATTAACCAAGATAGATATCCAGCAAAATAAAACAATAGAACAAAAGTTAACAGCGACATCGGGCTAATCCTGGAAATTGAATGTATGACTAACAGAATAACACAGTTGGAAGGGACCTTGGAGGTCATCCAGTCCAACCCCCTACTTGGGTAGCAAACCCTATACCATTTCAGACAAATGGTTGTCCATCTTTTCTTTAAAAACTTCCATTGTTGGAGCATCCATAATTTCTAGAGGGAAGTTGTGCTAATGATTAATTGTTCTCACTGTCAGGAAATTTCTCCTTTCTTCTAGGTTGGTTTTTCTCCTTGATTAGTTTCCATCCATTGCTTCCTGTCCTGCCTTCAGGTTCATCTCTTTCTTGGCTCAAAAATGGTTCATGATGGCAGTTCTTGAAATCAAACACAGAGTACCTTAGGCCGCATTGCGATGGTTAACATGAAAGCTTCACATTCTTGGGCCTTGTAGTGTCATGGATTTGAACCCATTCTCTATCAGGTGAGAAAGAACTTTTCTCTCTTAGTAAGGCCAAAAAGATAATCCAATAATAATGCAAGAATTTGCTTTCCAGCCTGGAGATTTGACTTCTTTCCTTCAGTTAACTAGGGCTGATTATAAATATCTCTTCCCCAGATCTTCTTCTTTAGGCAATGTGGAACTTTTGCGAGCCATTGAAGAAGAAAAGTTTGAATCCTGAAATGTGCCAAATCTCATCATGAACTTAGAATAACAGAGTTGGAAGGGACCTTGGAGGTCTTCTAGTCCAACCCCCTGCCCAGGCAGGAAACCCTACACCACTTCAGACAAATCTGTTATCCAACATCTTCTTCAAAACTTCCAGTGTTGGAGCATTCACAACTTCTGGTGGCAAGTTGTTCCACTGATTAATTGTTCTCATGGTCAGAACATTTCTCCTTAGTTCCAGGTTGCTTCTCTCCTTGATTAGTTTCCACCCATCGCTTCTTGTCTTACCCTCAGGTGCTTTGGAGAAGAGCTTGACTCCCTCTTCTTTGTGGCAGCCCCTGAGATATTGAAACACTGCTATCATGTCTCCTCTAGTCCTTCTTTTCATTAAACTAGACATACCCAATTCCTGTAACCGTTCTTCATATGTTTTAGCCTCCAGTCCCCTAATCATCTTTGTTGCTCTTCTCTGCACTCTTTCTAGAGTCTCCACATCTTCTTTACATCGTGGCGACCAAAACTGAATGCTGTATTCCAAGTGTGGCCTTACCAAGGCATTATAAAGTGGTATTAACACTTCATGTGATCTTGATTCTATCCCTCTGTTTATGCAGCCTAGAACTGTGTTGGCTTTTTTGGCAGCTACTTGAATCTCTACAGTTCTTCCAGTTGAAGGGTTGTCAGCAGAATGGAAAGTCCAGAGGCTGTTGGGTACACACAACACAAACCAGCCTTCCAAAGGTCCCTGATTCTGCCTGCTGCTAAGATCACCGTTGATTGATGTACTCTCTGTTGAAAAGTGCTCGTTGTGCCACATTCTTCAGACAGCAAAAGGTCTAGGTTGCTATGTTACTGGCATTTGACATCATATCCTTCCCAAGGTGTTCCCATATTTGACAGACTCTTATGATTTACTATGCTGGGCAGCTTGCTATTCATTTGTGCAATGACGTCTGGAAAAAAAAACCATTTGAAATTCAGATTGTATCCTTCCCTCCAGCCCCTCTCCAAACTCTTCCCAGAAAAAGTGGCACGTGTGTATTTTGAAACTCTTTGTGGACATTGGATGCATCTGCACCCAGATGAAAAGAAACAATTAAGGAGGTTTCCGGGAGGGTAAGGGACATGGGGACAAGTCTATTAACAGGCTAATTTTGCTTTGTGAACAAATCATCTCAACCAGGGCTAGTGCGTATTAAGTCGATTAGCGCCTTTCAAATTGTACAGGAAAGGTAATATTGCATATAATTTTCTCAGTCAAGGGCATTTTCACCTGCTGATCAATTTACATATTCTCCAATGTCATTAGAGTGAAGCTAGTCATCAGGAGGGGGCGAAGAGAGAGAATAAATTACAGAGTTTTGTTCATTTTATTCTAATTATAAGCAGCCTCTGTTTTGCTTGGGAGTATGCAGCTTTTAATTAATACTGCACCTGTCCAACTATTTATCTGGAAGGATGGCATGGCTTTTCCTAACGAGAAGAACGTTGTTCTTGGAATTGGCATCTATTGATCTTATATATTAGAGTTGTCATGTTCTATCCTAAATACAATGTAAAAAAGATGTGGAGACTCTAGAAAGAGTGCAGAGAAGAGCAACAAAGAGGATGAGGGGACTGGAGGCTAAAACATAGGAAGAACGGTTGCAGGAACTGGGTATGTCTAGTTTAATGAAAAGAAGGACTAGGGGGAACATGATAGCTGTCTTCCAATATCTCAGGGGCTTCCCCAAAGAAGATAGGGGTCAATTTATTCTCCAAAGCCCCTGAGGGCAGGAGAAGAAGCAATGGGTGGAAACTAATCAAGGAGAGAAGCAATTTAGAACTAAGGAGAAATTTCCTGACAGTGAGAACAATTAATCAGTGGAACAACTTGCCTCCAGAAGTTGTAAATGCTCCAACACTGGAAGTTTTTAAGAAGATGTTGGATAACCATTGGTCTGAAGTGGTGTAGGGTTTCCTGCCTAGGTAGGGGGTTGGACTAGAAGACCTCCAAGGTCCCTTCCAACTCTGTTATTCTCTTAACAGTTGCAAGGATTACTTATGTCTAGTCTAATGAAAAGAAGGACTAGGGGAGACATGATAGCAGTCTTCCAATATCTCAGGGGCTGCCCCAAAGAAGAGGGAGTCAAGCTATTCTCCAAAGCACCTGAGGGCAGGACAAGAAGCAATGGGTGGAAACTCATCAAGGAGAGAAGCAACTTAGAACTAAGGAGAAATTTCCTGACAGTGAGAACAATTAATCCGTGGAACAACTTGCCTCCAGAAGTTGTAAATGCTCCAACACTGGAATTTTTAAGAAGATGTTGGATAACCATTTGTCTGAAGTGGTGTAGGGTTTCCTTCCTAAGCAGGGGGTTGGACTAGAAGACCTCCAAGGTCCCTTCCAACTCTGTTATTCTATTCTGTTCTGTTCTGTTCTGTTCTACATATTAAGAATTGTCATGTTCCATCCTAAATTTGGAGTTTTCTTCACCCCCGGGGAAGGAAACTTTACGGATCAGTCTCTTCCCTGGTCTGACATCCCATAGATCTCTTTCAACTCTCCGATTTCCCAACCAACATGAAGAAGAAGTGGTGATGTGACTTTTGTGAACAGACAACCATTGATGTTCTGACTTAGGCCTCTCAAGATCAGGAAACAGACTCCTCGTCCCGTTAAAACCTCTTTTATTTAGGTTAAAGAGAAATTCCTCTCCAGCAAAGTCCCGGCAAACAGTCTTCCATGAGATTTCACAACTACAGACCTAATGTAGCAGCACTTACTTACTCGGCAAGAAGTCAGGAACAGATCTTCACCCTAATGAACTGAACTAATTGTCTCCTGCAAACTCCCCTCTCCTTTCGCTCCTCTTTATTCCCTCTGGGAGGGGCCATTCACTGTCCACCTGTGCCTTTACTCCTGAGTCGGCCCTTGTTCCTTAGCTGTTCCCTTCTCCTGGCAGCTCTGTGCATGCGCACATCGGGAACAGGCCCCAGCTGTTCTTCTGCCCCATTGACCTCTGACTCTGAAGGCACCGGATAACTGTCAGTTGGCCCTGGCATCCTCTCTGCAGAGCCCTCATCAGAGCTTTCCCCAGACTCCAGGACTGGCCCATGTTCCTCCCCAACCTCCTCACTGTCTGAGTCTGCCACCAGCTCCACTGGCTGCTGGCGGGCCACAACAATTGACTGGATTATTCTATTAGTCTAAAACTCCATGCATACAAAGCTCGAATTCACAAAGATCAAGGTTTAAGCTCTGGGGGAAAACTTGAGTATAGACGAAGACTTCCTGCTTCAAACAAGTGTTGTGTCCTGCTTCAAACAAGTGTTGTTGTGTCTTCATGAAGACATCATGGCAACCTCTAAAGGAGAAGGTCTGCTTGCTGCTGGTCCTCACATGGTGAACCCCAACAGCATTTTATCATCTGAAGAAACCACACAGACTTCCAACATTGAACATTCACCAAGTTCAATGGTGACCCAAAAGAGATTTGATTTTGGTAGAAATCTCTGTAGGAAAACACTGTATGGCCTTGAGGAAGGACTATGCAAGAATGTATGGATAAGATTAACCTGACTGATGCAACTTTATTGTAATAGAATAGATGCATTCTAGGATGGAAAGCTACGTCAAATATGGGATGCTTTTGATCCACCAAGAAGGACCTTCTTCAGAATACTTTCTGGGCCCCTTCTTTCAACCTCCATTTTTAGTTTGATGTTACTCAGTTGAAGTGGCTTTTGAATGAGGAATACAAATTGTAACCCTTAACATTTTTGTGTTGCGGTGCTGCAAATGCTTGGTTTCACCCAACTTCTTGATATTTCTGTAGGAGTTATGGATGTTACTATTTTGGCTGTTGAAAGTTCACCTCTTAAAGCATGAGTTTGCTTTACTAATGGATGGAATTGATTCTATTTTTTTCTATGCTTCCACAGAGTTCAATACACACTCTTAACTCCAGCTAAAATAGGATTCTCAGCTTGAAATAACTTCATAAGTCTCCCAGATAAACAGAGATTTGACTATATATATCATTACAGTTCTAAGCTAAATGCTACTTAACCTACTATCGAGATTCTATGATATAATTGACAAAAAGGAATTCAACTTACCCGTAATATCTCTTCCACACAGTTGGAGTCATTGGGAAGGCTAACCTAAAAGAGGGAGAAGGATACATGTAGTCAGTCTAAAATGGATTTTTTTCCGGTCATAGTACCAATAAAAGACAGTCAATATCAACAGGTTACATGTCACCTTTTTAAATGGTAAAACAACAAAGCATTACTTTTCACTGTATCCCCAGGGAAGGTCAGCTTTCCTTAGTTATTAATTAATTTGTTGTACTTAGAGACAGCTCCATCTATATGATTGCTCAGATATATATCAACAAACAAATCCCAATTGAAAATCTCCATGCCTAAAGAATCCATACTGCTGTTAATTCATGGGGAGAAAATAGCATTGATGAGCCGATAGGATTGTTAAGCTAGTTGCAGTCTGAATAATATTTCTGTTTGTGTGGTGGAATGTAGTCTGGATTTCCAGGAGGGAGGGGCAATGCCAACTTGCAAAGCATCCCTGACCTGCTCTCGAGTTGCCATAAGCCAGGGAGATGGGTAAACGGCGAAGCAGCATGGCAGCCAAAAACAAAAACACATTCCAGACGTATTTCTCTCAAGGCTATCTCCCAGGATTAGCCACAGAGGCCAGAGGGGAGTGATAGAATCCTGACAGGCTGCTTCCCTGAGGGCAAAGAGGCAACAGAGCTTAGAAAATTTGGTCAGCGGGTAGAGGGTTAAAATGGTTCTTTCCTAGCTTATCTCCGAGTATATATGCAATTATGCAAATAATTGCTTTAGACTGGCACGATTCTGTCTATAGGTGAAGAATAATAAAGGAAACTACTCATAAGAAACTCTACATGTCATTCTTGGGTCTTGGGGACTGACAGTTTGCCAATATAACATACAAACGGTTTTTAAGAATAGTACAGACAAATTTAAGATACAGAGAAGGGATAGAGGAATTAACAGGCTCTTGAATAACTTCTAATTTGCTCCAGTCGATGGGCCAGTAATAGCATATAGATCACTCACACCTTCTAGGAACCCCAAAGCAGTTTACGTGTGACCCAGAAAACTTACTCTGAGCTCTATTTAAGAAAGAAAGAAAACTGTCTTTCGAACGTTAGGTCTGAAATCCATCTACATTTGTGCCAAATATAGCTAAAGACATACCCGTGGGAGCTTTAAAGATTTATTTTTTAAAAAATAAATTGGGCAAAGAATCTTCTTTCGGTCTCTTTTTTTTTGGCCAAGGATTTACGACAACTGGAAAAAACTGGGGCAGAATTTAGCACAATTTGCAAATTTGGGTCAGAAAGAAACTTCAGGCTTTGTGAAACGGGAAGAGACTGAATCCAACATAAGAATCCATAGAAGTTAGACACCTTGGACAATTTGCTTTTAAAAAGTATGTTTCTGAAACATGGATACTAATCCAGATTTATGATGGGACAATTCTATTCTTTCCCCCCACTGATAAACTCTTGTTTAGACTCAGAATAGATGTACCTACTAAATTTGGCCAATTTTGGCAGATGGGAATTTCGCTCATCTGCTTTTCATAATCCTTTTCCAAGATTGGTAGGTCTTGTTGTTTTTTTTTTAATAGTTGAAAGAAATTTAGAAGTTTTGGTAAACGATTCTGGGGGAGAAAGGGCAATTGATGGAATTTTTGTGAATGGACCAATGTAATTTCCAACATTTCAAATTAGAATTTAATCAATGGAAGCTGGGGTAAAACAATAAAATGAAGTCCTTTGTGCTATAATGTGTAACTTAAAAAGCCACCAAATGCAAACCCCTTTATTGATTGATTACCCTTGGGCCATATCAAAGTGCAAAGTTCCAGAAACAAATGATTACTAAAATTTGATAAAAGCAAATTTAAAATGGAATTGGATAACATACAATTTAAAATGAAATTGGAATAAAATACGATTTAAAATAAAATTGGAATAAAATACGATTTAAAATAAAATTGAAATAAATACCATAATGTAAGATATAGATAAAATATGATAAAATTATATTTCGGTATCATCCCTACATTCTACCCCAATCGGTCCCACCTATGCAGATCTCAACCGTACCATTTTGCTTAAGTACCTTGTGCTGTGTTCAATGTTATTTTCAGATTTTGGCCGCACATAAGGTAAGTTGTTTTGATATGGGGATACCAATGGACACAAGCCCTGAATTTTTACAACGACCCCTTGAACCACTTTAACTTTACTTGTTGAAAGTTGCCAGCAGATCAGTGGTCGGTTGCTACCAGTTTGCCCCAGTTCGGGCGAATCGGTAGTGACGGCAGCGGGAAGCTCCGCCCACTGGACGTCATCAAATACGCTCTGCGCGAGCGAACCGGTAGCAAAGGTAAGTGAAACCTACCTCTGCGGCAGATCTGTTCAAAGCTGAGATTTCTGACCTTCCAAGATTTGAAACTCTTTATATCTGTGGTGTTTTTTCACCCCAGACTCCTTAATTGCAAAAAAGAAAAAAAAAAAAGGCAAAGAGGACCAACACAGATTCTGACATAACTGTCTCTCCCGTTGATTTTGAAATCGCAGCAATGAAAGGCTAACTCTGACAGCGTGTGGTCCAAGTTAAAACGAAAACTTTAATGACAGCAGCATGGAAAATCAAAGCAAGTGACGTACGCTCAACTTTGGAAAAATCAAAATATCCCAACAGAGGAGGCTATTATAAAAATTTTTTTAGAATGTGCGGAATCAGATATGCTAACTAAAAAATTAAAGGATAGAGAGCAAACACAAGTAGGTTTAGCTTGGGAAAATTTTTTATAAATGGTTAGAAAAGAGGAAACTATAACCCACATTAGATGAGGAATGGAATCTATTGAGAAACTTATACTATATAAGATAAGTGAGGTCGGATAGACCTAATTGATGTATTAAGGTATATAAGATGTTCTGTCTTCTCCGGATTATAATATAGAGTTACAGTACCGAATATTTGTTTATTAAGGTACTATTATTATTATTATTATTATTATTATTATTATTATTATTATTATTATTTTAATTTGTATACCGCCCTACTCCCGAAGGACTCAGGGCGGTGAACAGCCAGATAAAACACATATAATACAAATGTTAAAAAGCATTAAAATACAATTAAATAATTTGGCCCGAAAAACGAAATTTAAAACACCCCAAATTCTTAAGACAAATTTAAAATTTAATTTTTTTTAAAAGTTTAAAAGAGAGGTTAGGCGAGGCCGGTCTGCTGAAAAAGAAATGTTTTGATGGCACGGCGAAAAGCGCGCAGACATAGACTACATAGAAGTATGATTGTTTATTGTTGTATTGTTCTTTGTGTGTCATTTTACGTTGTGTTGTCTTTTCTTTTTAACCGAAAATGTAAATAAAGATTATTATTTTTTTTTTTAAAAAAAAGAAAATCAAAGCAGGTGCACGCACAGACCCAGACAGGCAGACAGACAGAGAGACAGCCTCATAAGCATTCAGGCATAGACAACCAAAACAAAACAAAACACACCCAACTTCTGAAATTGCACGGCGGAAGACCGAAACGGCTCAGTTTCTTATTAATGAGTCGTTCTGCTGAGCGAGTTGCGTTCGTAAATCCCTAATGAGGATTTTAAACACATTAAAACTTCTTAATGCAAAGTGTTTGCTTTTTTGTTTTCATCCAATAACAAGCCAATAATTCTATGCCTCTAAATGACACTATTAACTGTCAGGATATGCTTTATTTGACAATCACTTCATTCAAATACAGTAAAAAAAAAAAGAAAGAAAGGAAAGAAAGAAAACCAATTAATTTGACTGTTGTGAAATGTTTCTTGATAGCTTTTACGAGGGTTTCCTTTGCCGCTCGGAGAAATGCGTACAGTAGGTCAATGGAGGTGGGTTTGTTTTTTTTTCTAGTTTTACTTTAGAATTCATGGCAATAAAATCTAGGCCTTTTTCTCATTTGTTACTGAAGTAATATACCCAGGGGTGGGCTGCTGTGGGTTCGCAGGGGGTTCGGGAGAACCTCTAGCTAAGATTCTGTGCAGTTTGGAGAACCTCCAAATCCCACTCCTGGCTGGCCCTGCCCCTCCCCTCCCCTCCCCTTCCCTGCCAAGAGTCCCCACGTGGCCCATTTTGGATGCAGGTAAGTGCAGGGCGTGCACGGAGGTTCGGGGAGGGCGAAAAACAGATCTCCTGGAAGTTCAGGAAGGCCGCAAATGTTTCCGGCCTCTAGAGGGCCTCTGGAGCCTGGGGAGGCTGTTTTCGCCCTCCCGGAGGCTTGAGGAAAGCCTCCGGAGTCTCGGTAGGGCAAAAAGCCCCCCTCCCTGCCAGGAGGCTGACTAGGCCACGCCCACCATGGCCACGCCCACCTAGCAACGGGGCAGAGAACCCCTTGCTAAAATTTTTGTAGCCCACCCCTGCCTTTTTGTCATTTGTTACTGAAATAATATACCCCACTCACATTAGAAAGACTGTTATTAGAACTCTTAAAAATGGATAGCTGTTGATTCAGCTGGGATTTACAAAGAAAGACAAGATACCTTTTCTATTTATTTTTTTTTGAGTGAGTGGGTTGCCCATCACGTAATGTCAATCTGAGAGGTTCAAAAATCCAACATAGCGGTGTCGTTATTAACGCTTAATATTCAGGATCCTTCCAAAATGGCTCCTTGGTTCTTCCTTAAAACAACAGCCAACAAATGAGTAGTTGGTATGATTGGAGAGAAATGTTGACCGTGAATTAATCGTCTTTCATTTCCATATCTTACTTCTTCCTTGTTTACAAAATGGTGGACTTGGTTTTTTTTGGACATAAAGGAGGAGCAGAACGCAGGAAGCATTTGTGCTGACTCCTTTTTTCCGTACCTTCCAAATGCTGCTAATATTATCAAAGAGCACCAAAGGACATTGGGCACTCCAGAAAAAAGAGAAAGATATGCTTAATTGATCCATGCAAAACCTTATACCTAAGTCAAGCGTGATCACCTCCTCTTGTGGCATTTTGTAGAGGAGACAATGTTTTATTGCTCTGTTAATCAATTTTCTGAGACATATGAACATCCACTCTGGAGCAGAAATGGATGTGGAAGAAGG